AGAATCAAGATCACGTGAAGTATTAATACCACTTTACAATGCCTTGGTAAGGCCACACTTGGAATACTGCATCCAGTTTTGGTCACCACGATGTAAAAAAGATGTTGAGACTCTAGAAAGAGTACAGAGAAGAGCAACAAAGATGATCAGGGGACTGGAGGCTAAAACATATAAGGAACGGTTGCTGGAATTGGGTATGCCTAGTTTAACGAAGAGAAGGACGAGGGGGGACATGATAGCAGTGTTCCAATATCTCAGGGGTTGCCATAAAGAAGAGGGATTTAAGCTATTCTCCAAAGCACCTGAAGGCAGGAAAGAAGCAATAGATGGAAACTAATCAAAGAGAGAAGCAACCTAAAACTAAGGAGAAATTTCCTGACAGAACAATTAACCAGTGGAACAACCTGCCTCCAGAAATTGTGAATGCTCCAACACTGGAAGTTTTTAAGAAGAGACTTACAATTTGTCTGAAATGGTATAGGGCAGGGGTGTCAAACTGCCAGTCCCTGGGCCGGATGCGTCACGCTGAAACTGCGCCCACCCCATTGCCAGCAATGGGGGAAAAATTGCAATACATCGTATATCGTGCAATGTCATGTGATGTCGCGAGTTTGGCATGCCTGGTATAGGGTTTCCTACCTGAGCAGGGTGTTGGACTAAAAGACCTCAAAGGTGGTGGTTATTATTATTGTTGTTAATTGGGTAAGCAATACTTGATTCATCATCTTTACCTGATGTTCTAGTTAATTTGAAAATATCCACATTTTTATAGATTCTAAGACAGCTGCTGAATGTGTTGGACTTTTGTTCTCATAATCCTTAGTTAATATACATATTGGCTGATCAGTTGCCTTTGCTCAGGAAGATTTACAAATGACATACCCATATAAGCCCCGCGTATGTACAGAGGCCAGTATTATTTTAAAAGAGAGATTAGCCCCATATTATAAACCTGTAAGATTTATTTAGTTAAACAATCACTTCAAACTTTTTGAATTTGTATTTGCATGGATTTCTGCTTTGTGATTGAAATATTTTTCTAAGGACATTTCTTCTTCTGAAAGACTTCTTTCATCTTCATGCTTACTAGTTGTGGGGAAAAAAACTGCATTTTCTTCCTACAGATCTTTTTGTCCATAGACTTACAACAGTTCATTTAGTGACCTATCAAAGTTACAAGAGAACTGAAAAAAGTGATTTATGACTGGTTTTCACATTTATAACCATTGCAGCAGCATCATGATCATGTGATCAAAATTCAGATGCTTGGCAACTGATTTTTTTAATGGGATACTGCAACCTTCATAACCCTCCTGCAACCTTCTAACAAGCAAAGTCAATGGGGAAACCATATTCATATAACAATCATATTTCTAACTTAACCATTGCAGTGATTCACTTAAGAATTGTAGCAAGAAAGGTTGTAAAATGGGACAAAACTCAGTTAATAACTGTCTTACTTAGCAATTGTGGTCATTAGTCAAAGACTACCAGCATATCAACGTTTGGAAGTTTTTCTTTAAATAAGCTCTCTTTCAGAACTGTCTGGAAAACATTTATAGGGGAAACCACATTTGAGAAGAGTACTCTGAGTCTAACAAATATAGTATTTTGACACCAACTGGATTGATAATATATCTATTACTTATCTACTCAAAATAACTCACCCTATTTTTGCCTCTGGCTTTCTTGCAGAGTTGATCAAAAGCGTTACCAAGCAGGGAGTAACTGTTGGAGACTTACTTCAGGAGGGTCTTTCCTACCTGGATACTCGCACAGATTTCTGGCAGCAGCAAAAGCCTATTTATGCCCGGATCAGAGATCGCAAGCTTATGTTGAAAAGATGGACCCGGGATCAAAAGCGGAAGCCCTCTGAGGTGGCAAGATACATACTAAAGAGCATGGAGGACATTGATATGCGTAGGTGGCTCAGGTGAAAATGGGGACCAGTTAGAATTTATTAATGGGATTGTTTGTGTGCTGCCTCAAATAAGATAGATCTGCAATATTTACAGAACAAGGATTGTCCTAACTAAGAAAATATGCTTTCAGGATCCTTCCAATTTGTTTTTTGTCAATTCTTTGAAATAATATACTGTATGTAATATGTGTGACTTCTTAATGTATAGAGTATAATATTTTGGTATCTAGGATCATATTTCTTACTAAAAAAATATCCTCAGCACCTATTAGTAAGTTCTTTGAGTGATACTTCTTGTTCTTCTAAAATATTATCTCCTATAACCTCAGAAAGTAGCAGATTCCAAAATCTGTTTTTTGGTATTATCTGAATGTCTTTTGATATTTTCTAGCATTGTTTTGTGAGATAATTATTCTTTTAGAAATATGTGAAATGTATCAAACTGTACCAAACTCCAGGCAAATTTAAGAATATAAGAGAAACACTGCTGCTTCATTTATACTCTAGCATGCTGTGTCACTCATTACCCAATTAGGTTTGTTCATGAAGTTCTCATGCATGGAGAAATCTGGGAGGGCTTTTATTTAGAAAAAGAAAAAAGAAAATAGGAAAAAAGAAAAGAAAAATAAGATAAAATAATAATACAATTTAATGTACAGGTGCAATAAATGATTCATTTTTCATTATAATCTAAAACTATAAGCAATGTGTGGAAGTATCTAAGGCTTTTCTTGCTGGTGTTTGACTTAGATTGCCTGTGATTCAGGAGTTACATACTGTAGTAATCAACTTTAATGGCCATTAACTGTCCTGTCTTTGATGAATGTATCTAGTTTCTTTTTAACACCACCTAAATTAGCTATTATCTTCAAACCTGCTGAGAAAAACTTGATAGTTTTGTATTAAATAAGTATTTCATATGATCATCCTGAATTTCTGTGCATTGTTTCAGTGCATGCACACTTGATTAGCATATTTGCTCATGCAGAGGGTTTTTTTCTTTTTCTCCTAAGTGCTGACCAGTGGCTGCCCTGAAAGAAGTTGCCAGAAAGCTGAGCAAGTACTGAAAAAAATCCAGAGCTGGTCTGATGATGAAATCCCCAACAGGAGCGAGCTGGTTGGAAATCTTTACAGCTGCATTGGAAATGCTCACATTGAGATGGGGAATATGATGGCAGCTTTGCAGAGCCATCAGCTAGATCTGGATATTGCCAAAGAAAAGTAGGAAAGAAGCAATCACCCAGTTTTCCTCTTTCCTGGGAAAAGCAAAATTGCCCAAGGGATTATGATGTTTTTGTTTGTTAATGATTAGAAAACAGTGTGTGATCAGCATATCAGTGTATGCACTTCTCCTGAGCTCCTTGGAAGAAAATTTCCATTGCTAGACAAGTCTGTCCTGTCTAACTTCCCTATAATATCTCTATTATCTTGAGCTTAGAGTTATTTGCAGTGGAGTGGTTAAAAAAGATAAAAGTAAGTGGAGTTTTCCACTGTACTACTTTCTCTCAATTGCTGAGGCCCTTTAATGACATTTTATGATTTAGGGACACTGATTCCAAGATTTATGATTAACCTATAGTTTCAAGATAATCATTTTACTGAATTAAATTATTTCTGCTGTGATTTCACTCTCCAATGATCACAAAAATTCAGCATTAGCCATTAAAAAAGGTTGAATTGCAATCCTTACCATATTGCTCTCTTAAATATATAAAAGAAAAGATTTTTTTAAATAAATAAGTTCTTAACAAATAATTTAAAAAATGATCCATATCATGTAATTGTTTTATTTAATCTCCTTTTTTAATCAGTTATTGATATAATTGATTTGTTCTTACAACACTTTAAAAAGCAGAATAATATTCCAAGCCTGCTCTGCTGCTTTGCTGGGGCCCTTTGTACTCTTTAAAGCAGAGATAGGCAACTTTGGCAGAAGCAGAAAAGATACGCATCTTAGAGAGAAAAACTTTATTTTGATCAATGACCAGCGTAGAGTAAGAAAAAAATACAATAATATACAATATTCTCCATATAAAATTAATAAGGGGAATGAAATACAATGAAAAGTTACAAATATTAAATCTATAAAAACAAATTAAACTAAACCTATACAGGTAGTTCTCGGGATACACTTAACGGCCATTCAAAGTTACGATAGAACCACAAAAGCTACATATGACCCAGTTTCAAAGTTATGGTGGCTGCAGTGGACCTGCAGTCATTCGCTCTTATGACCAACCACAAGGATCCCACCCCCTTCACTTCTCTCCCCCATCCTGTCCTGACTGGATCCTGCAGTACTCTGGCCTGTTCCCCAGACCTCCTGGAAGCAGCTGTCATTTTCAGTGCTTCAACAATTTCTAGCAGAAATGGCAGCTGCTTTCCGAGCTTTCTATTCTGCTCAGCTGGCCATTGAGAGACTGCAAACCTTCCCAGGCTCTTGCTGGGCTTTTGGAAAGCCAGCTGCCTGCATGCAAAGATGGCAGCTCCAGGATGAGCTTCCTAAAATCTTTCCCTTGCTTAAGTGCTGCCTATATGATTCCCAGCTTCTGCTGCGGCCATTTGTTGCCCGTTTGTGGTGTAGCTGCTTTTTCTTTTGAGCTGAACTTTTGTTCATCTCCTCCACACAAACAAGTTGCAGGAAGATTTATTTATTTTTGCTTGCATTCTTCCTTTCCTCTACTCTTCAGCCTGGCAGTCACTTGTCAAGCTAAAAACTTAACAGTTTTTGTCATCAGCTTTCCAGACCTGCAGTAAATTAGCAAATGAGATGGTTAAATGGGATCGAGATTGGAGGGCAGAGGTGGAGAGTTTAGTTTCAGCACCTTGGGACAGGAGAAAACAATCAACAAGTATGTCTCCCAGCTTTTTTTTTTTTTAATTGAAATGAGGGTTTCTGGAGGAGGGAAGGGGTTAAGCAAAGGAAACATTGCTCCTCCCAATGTCCAGCTGTTAGGGCAGAGGTTCTTTTCCCACAGAGGCTTGTTTGGAAGCCTCTCTGATATTGGAATATGGCGCTAGGCTTAATCTAGCTGGGCCGTTCCCCCGACTGGGATATTTTTGCTTTGTAAAGCCTTTTATTGCTTGTCTCCCTTTAGACTGAAGTGAGTGGTAGGCTTCCCAGGACCTCATCCACCCATGAGGTACTCCATACTTGTTTAATGATCCATGCATTTGAATAACTGGCATCAGGGAGAACAGAGGCTGGAAGCCATTAAGTGAGTCTGTTTAACATAATAGTTGTCACCACTTGTGATTGTAGTGGACAGCCTCCATTATGGTTGTAGGTCGAGGACTATCTGCAAACCTACCAGCTTATCAATATAAAAAACAAAGTATTATCCTGGTGTATTAAGTAAGGTGCAATAAAATATATGTAAATGTTAATATGTAGTAATGCAATATTTAATAGGCATAAAACATTGGGAAAAATATTCTATATTTTTATGGACAATTAAACAGATATCCTCTTTAGATATCTACAGGCAATACAGCAGTAATTAGAGACATCAAGGAGATTCTACATATCACTTCTCTTAGACAATACATATTAAAGATGAAATAAGTCTGAGTTCCCTAGACAATTTACTAATAGCAGTCTTCTTTTTTTGCAAGGGCAAAAATAGCAGTCTGCAAGGGCAAAGTTACCAGAGCAACATATTGTGTATCCTTTTTCAGGTTTGGAAGATGAGAAGGGATATTCTCACAGGCATGGAACACATCTATTTACCTCTTCAGTTCATTATAAATAGGCAACATTGAGAAGTTTTCCCTGTTAAATTTTGGAAATGTAAATTGGGGCTGCAAACTGGAGGCAGAGGTCACACACATACTACAAATCATAAACTGCCACTCATGTTTTAAAGTATTGTACACATTCATAGTGCACTATACATTAATGCATAGAGATAATATCCAGAATTGGTGATAGTTGATGGGATATTTTTGTAATAGTATCAGATCATTTGCTTTTGGCTTTTTTTGCAGCAACCTGACTGATGCCATCTCCAGAGCCCTTGACAACATTGGTCGAGTACATGCCCGTATGGGCAACTTTCAGGAAGCCATTGACACGTACGTGGAAGTCAAACAGTGATAAGGCCTTTGTCCTATTTTAACTTTACCTGATTATAAATGATTAAGGAGAGCAATGTCAGTTAAAGAAAAGTAATGATATATTAACAGCTATTAGAACTGATTTCTGCCAGGGATATAGAATGGGAATCCAGGTTAGTGGGAACTTGTAGCCTCCAAATGCCATCCCATCAGTCTTAGCCAACACACTGTTAGGTCATTGGGAGGAACAGAGACCCCTCACTCATAATCTAGTGAATGTCCCAAAGAATGAGAAGATGCAGAAAAATTAATGTTAAAGGCTGAAATTACTACATTAAGAAAAATTGATTATTATGGAAACTTGAAATTGTTTTTTTCCCCTGAAAACCGATTTACCATATATGGATGATAGTAACTAGCACTAGACTTGAGGCTAAGGATTCTTGTATAATCCCCATTCCTGACAAAAGCTAAAATTTGCCTCCTGAAAGTCTTAGCTGCCAACTCCCAATGGTGACATATATTTATCAGCTCTCCTTTAAATCTATAAGGCCCCACCATTTTAATCGTAATCTCTAATCTCTGAATCTCATCTCTGACCCACCCTTAACAGAGTTGTAATCATTTGTAACAATTATATAAAAATAGAAATCAGGAATCTTGGCAGAAGCTAGAGTCTTGGCAGAGTCTAGAATAATGTTTTTAAAGGCTAAATTTATTTTCTGTAAATAAATCTTTACATTTCTTTTTTGCAAAGCTGGGAGGAAAAGATTCCTCTTATGAAGAGTAACTTGGAGAAAACTTGGTTATTCCACGAAATTGGCAGATGCTACCTAGAACTCAACAAAGCAGCTGAAGCTCGAGACTATGGTGAAAAGTCCTTGCAGTGCGCAGAGGAAGAGGGAGACATTGAGTGGCAGCTCAATGGTGGTGTATTGGTGGCACAGGCACAGGGTAAGTTGCTTTGCATAAGCTTTACACCCAAATGTTTATCTTTACTGGCTGGACTGGGTCTGTTTTACATAGCAGAGTTCCTTCTTCTTTTCTAATGAAAACCCATTTATCATTATTTGCTATATAAGAGAATCTCCACAGATATGTTTAGTTTGTTGCGGTAGAGAAAATTGCCACCTACTATTCAACTCAGCAACTTCAGTTAGCCAAGATATTGACAATCATGCACATGCTCACTGTTAAAATACAAATGAGTCCAACTCAGATTGCTGTTTAAAACTACAGGATTGCTTCTATGTCTTAAAAACACAGTAATCTCTTAACTTTAAAAGGACAAAGGGAGACAACTAAACATCCAGTTAACTGCTTTTAATTCCTGCATTCAAAAGGACTTGATCTAATGAACTCTGTTGTTATACAAAAAGTTAAAAATGTTATTGATATTAAAAATTAAAACCCAAATACTGTTCTACTCAAGTCCTGGGCAGTTTTTACATTAGGTAGGTAGTATCTTGTTTCCTGTACAATACTCAGTTTGGAAATGTGTCACGTGAACACTACCTGTGTCAGTTTCTCTTTATCTATTCATAGTTAAACTGGAGGATTTTCAGTCTGCAGTCACATACTTTGAAAAGGCTCTAGAGAAGGCAAAACGTATCCATAATGATGCAGCTCAGCAGGCAATCATCATTGTAAGTAACACAAAAATGGAGGGTGGAAAAAGATTGCATGAAGGGTTAGGACCAATGATTTCTTTTCATGGTAAGTTGATAAGATAAATTGGGACTTCCCAAAGTGCAGCTTATGGCTGCCCTGAGTTTGAGAAAATACATGACATGTGATGCCCCTGTTCAGGAAGATAGTAAATCTAGAAAACCACAGGAGGCATAGACAAAAGCTATTATGAAAGCAAAAACATCATTTCATTGTGCTACAATTACCTTTGATTCTAAAAATTGAAGAAAATGCAGTACTAGCTTTAATAGAGTATTAGTTATACAGGTAATCCTCGATTTACAACAGTTCATTTAGTGACCATTCAGAGTTAGAATGGCACTGAAAAAAATGACTTCATGGCTATTTTCCAGCATCTCCATGGTCATGTGATTTACATTTGAATACTTGACAACTGGTTCATATTTATGACAGTGTCAGTGTCCAGGGGCATGTGATCACCTTTTGTGACCTTCTGACAAGCAAAATCAATGGGGAAGCCAGATTTACTTAACAGCCGAGTTACTAACTTATCAACTGAAATTGTTGGCTGACTATTGTTGAAGAACTCAACAGACCTCTTCATTTGTTCTAAAAAGTCAATAAAGCTGGGACCTGTGTTTATCAAGAGCCACTACATTTTCTTTCAATTTCTAATCACATGCTGCACAATTTACCAGATCCAACAACTTAATTGTTTTCACAGTTTTCCATTCAACAGAGTCTTGTCACACCTTTCTGATGACTGGAAGATGCCAGATAACTGTGTTTGACATACATATGTGAGTTTCCCTGTGCCACTCTCTTTAAAGAAACAAAACAGGGTTCCATATCTTACAAGTACACATATTGATGACACTGTTTCAGTGTGTAAATTGAACACTAAAGAAACTAAGTATGCAAGGAGAATATCTCTTAAAATCTTCATGAAGTTTCTCTTGGGCATTCAGACTATATTTTTTTCCAGGCTCTGGATGAAGCCAACAAAGGGTTCATCAAAGAGTTGAAAGAAGAACAGAGACTTGAGAGAATGCGTGAATTGAAAGGTTGGTATATGTACCAAGTTGATTACAGAATATTCCAGGCAAACATGTTTTGCCAGGGTTCCATTCCTTCCTTCCTGGTTTTAATCAGCTGTGGTAGGGGAACAGAGGTCAGCTTGATGGTCCTTCAATTATGAGGATATGATATTCTCCCCCACCCCTTGCTTTTTAATATCTGTAAGAAATCACTAAAAGAAGTCATCCAACAATTTTGGATGTGGTGGAATTAGTGTGCTAATAATAATAATATATATATTGCTACCTTGGATTGTGGGGAAAATGCTGTTGAAGTTTTGTCCTGGTGTCTAAAGGCTGTGACAGTCCAAATGGAAGGCAACAGCTCAAATTTAACCCAAGGAAAATGGAGTTGCTATTTATACATTGGGATTCTCCTTAGGTGCCAAGCGGTATCCCTGTTGAACAGGCACTACTTATCCAGCTGTAGGTTTGTGACTGGGGGGGGGGTTTCTTCCAGACTCATAGCTTCTGCTTGAACAGCATGTAGAGGCTTCTAGTTGGGAAAACTTTTAACCAACTTTGGCTTATACACCAACTGTTCTCTTACCTGGTACAGGCAGAACTAGTGATAATAATGTTTTCACAGACTACTGCAATGTGTTTTACATGGAGCTCTGTTTAAATAATTATCTAGAAATCACAATTAGTCCAGTCTAAGGCATCTTGTATCTTAATTGGCTCCCAATCTGGGAGCACGTTGTACCTATATTGTCAGCTCTGCACTGGTTACAGTCAAATAGAAATGTATGTGTTAATCTGCAAAGTATGACTTGACAACTGAGTGCCTATGGGACTTAATCCCTTACTGGGTTTTGTATAGCCTACGGTTCGGCAACCTGCAACTCCGGAGCCACATGTGGCTCTTTGAACCTTCTCCTGCGGCTCCTAGCCTCCTCCGCCATTTGCAGAGAGAGAGACAAAGAGAGGCACTTGTGCTTCCCTTCTCTCTCTCTCTCTCTCTCTCTCTCTCTCTCTCTCTCTCTGTGTATAAAAAAGAGAGTGGCCTCACACTGTTCTCCGACGAGCTGACAAGCTTATTGGGCAGGGCTCCTCCCTTTACTGCATCTTTGCAGGAAGCAGGAAGGGCAGGAGAGAGCCAGCCCAATAAGAATGTGTGTCAGCTTGTTGGAAAACAGCCTGAAGCCAGCTTACCAGGTGAGCAGAAGATTGGAGAGAGGGAGAGGGGGGGGGAGAGAGAGAAAGAGAAAAAGAGAGAGAGAGAGAGGAAAGAGAAAGAGAGAGGGAGAGAGAGAGAGAGAAAGAGAGAGAGAGAGAAAGAGAGAGGGAGAGGGAGAGGAGAGAGAGAAAGAGGAGAGGGAGAGAAAGAGAAGGAGAGAAAAAGAGAGAGGGAGAGAGACGGGGAGAAGAAAGAGAAAGAGAGGGAGAGAGGGAGAGGAAAGAGAGAGAAAGAGAAAGAGAGAGGGAGAGGAAAGAGAGGGAGAGGAAAGAGAGGGAGAGAGGGAGGGAGAGGAAAAAGAGAGAGAAAGAGAGGAAAGAAAGGGAGAGGGAGAGGAAAGAGAGATAGAGGGGGAGAGAGAGGAAAGAGAGGGAGGGAGGGAGAGGAAAGAGAGAGAGAGAGAGGAAAGAAAGAGAGAGAAAAAAGAGGGAACAGTCAATAGTATTTCAGATGTTCAGGGATCCGAGACAGATTAATTAAAGAGGTAATACACTATTAATCCTATTGTGCTGAACAGAAAATAATGACTAAAATGTGCAAGTAGACAATTTTAATTAAAAGTACAAAATCTCTGATAAGTCTATATTATCTGCATTTGTAAATAAACACTACAAATGTATTTAATACATAATAATCATGTCTCAAAAAACAATGAGCAACATTAAATGTTGGAATGCAATGATTTTGGATTCCGTATTAAAAGTGAATGAATAAGCATTGCAGCTGCATAGAAAAGCTTGTCCTATAGGTGGTAGTATTTCTCCAGTCTCTTATTTTTGGTTAGTAGGTAGCACTGCATTTTTCTCTTTTTGATTGACCACATTTTTATATTTGATTTTAAGTTTAAACTTCAGTGTTGGTATACATTAATTCAGCATAGAAGTCTTCATTTCTTTTCTAGAATGAATATCTGAGGATTGTTGAGTGGACCTCCTGTCTTTCTATTTCTGATAAGTCAGGAATCTCCATACCTTTATGCTCACTGTCAAAAAACAGTTGCATATTATAAGGGAAGGCACAAAAGAATAATATAGCTGCTCTCAAAGTTCTGAATAGGAAATTAAAAGCCATCCATTTATGTTTCTTTTATAATTGTCCTCATTTTTTTGTGTTTTTTCCTTAGTAATCCTGCCTCTCCCATAGCTGTAAAATGGAAATATGGCTGAGAAGTCATAAACCTGAGAGTACACATGGATATAAACATTGAAATTTTATTATTTCCCAGAATTAGAAGATGAAGAGGAGGAAGAAGAAGAGTTGGAGGAGGAAGAACTCAAGAGAGATGCAGACGATACAGAAAAAAAGAAGGAAACTGAGAAACCTGAATCTGAAGAAGTGAAAGAGGTATCACCCCAAGAAGGAGAAGAGGTGCTTGCGTCTGGGAATGGGGAGATGCAACAGATGGAGGGAGAACCAGATCAAGGAGAAACTGAGAAGAAAGGAGAGGAACAGGAAGAACCTGGGGGAGAATCTGAGAAAGAATTAGAACCTGAACCAGAAAAACCGAGTGAGGAAACTATAGGATAACTGCTTTTGGTTTGTTGAAAATTGCTTTTAGTTTGTAATTTAGGAACTGTCTTGTTGTGGTAATCATTTTGCCTCACAATATTTTCTGCCCACATTATTGCTTGTGATGTTCAGGCTACTAAATAAAATGCAAATAAAATAATTATTAAGTATATAATTTTATAAAGAGGTTGCAAGAAAATAGGAAATATACATTCATATAGGACTCTTTTAAAAGTTTAGTTAATTGAAATAAAGAGCAATAATTCTGAGCATATTTCATTTTATATTTTATATTGTTTTCCACTGAATAGCTCAACCAATTAAAGTTAATCTTAGATGCAAGACAGCTAACTGATTGAAGGATTTCTCTAATCAGTTCGCATTATAAATCTGAATTTAGGCAAAAGACAGCAAGCATCTGCAGAATGAAATCTTTCAGTAGTGATAATTTTGGATATTAAGTTGCATAAGAGGTTCTGTTGTACAAGCAATTTAGATGTGAGTTCTACCCAGATTTTGGAATCTTCCTTCTGCAAAAGCTGAACCATATATTTAATACTTTTCTATGTGGAAGAGAAGTTACTAAGAAATACATTTGTGAATGCATGCAAGTAAGAAAATAAAAGCTATTCAGAACCTAATAGTAATAGACATCTGTATATGAAAATGCTGCTTGTCAGTATCATAATTCCTTGGCATGAATGGGACATTTGTATTTTTCTGGGCACTCATACATAAGAAATTTAGAAAAGGGGTGAATTGTTCCAATCAAACTATTGTTGGGAATCAGCACTTTAGAAGTGGAGCTTTTTCTAGATTAAGATAATCCAGAACATGTCTTTCAAACACTGCAAAATTTAAAAAATCCTGCCTTAGCAATAACCTCCCTAAGTATAATGGTTTAGTGAAACCGCTTTGAGAATTAGATAAGCCGGCTGGAGAGATAAGTTCCAGAGTCTGCCATTGTCTATATTAGGCAACATTCTCTGAAGATTCTCAGTCATCCAAACCATGGTTGTCCCAAAGATGCTTTTTTGAAAAGGCAACTGGACTTTCTTTGTTTTTCCTTGAAGACGTTTCTCTTCTCATCCAAGAAGCTTCTTCAGTTCTGACTGAATGGTGGAGAATAGAAGGATTTATATTCCTCGCAGCCATCTGGTTGTTAGCACTCAAGTCCAGACGACTGTGAGGAATATAAATCCTTCCATTCTCCACCATTCAGTCAGAACTGAAAAAGCTCCTTAGATGAGAAGCGAAACATCTTCAAGGAAAAACAAAGAAAGTCCAGTTGCTTTTTGAAAAAGTGCCTTTGGGATATTTCAGCAACAGCCATGCTGGGCAGCCAGTTCTGAGAGCTGCAAGTCACACAGCAGCAGAGCACACAAGCCCAGAAGGCTGGTCTATATAGAAAGCAGCCATTCCATTTGATTGCTCCAGTAACAGCCCAGCATTCTCAAAACTCCCTCAGTAAGTTAAAGGGATTTCCATGTAAGTAGGTAGACAGCTTCAAATTTAGAAAAGCTAACCCATAGTTCTCAACAGCTCATGTTTCATCTGTTGGCTGAGGTTTTTAGGACTTGTCTTTCAGGAAAATCTGAAGAGTCAAAAGAGTTTCCACGTGTGGAATGTGCAGAATTTGGAGAGAATGCAGGACTACTTAGCCACTAGATATTTGTGTGATTATGTTCCTATATAAAATATCCAATCTGCTTTCCATTCTTGCAAATCGTCATGCAACGTTGTTACCTTCAGCAGACAAAAACCCCAGTAAGGCAATGATGAGTTTTCTTAAGATGGTGATAGAGCCTCTCCGCCAATGATTATGAGCAATATAATCCCAAACCTCTGAACAAAATCTTGTTGAGGTATATTGTACACTGTTAAGACTCAAAAATCTGTGGCATTTTGCTTCTAAACATTCCTTCATCTCCCATTTCATATTTTTCCTGACAATGAGTGTGCTTATTTTCCGTTGTGGAGTTTATACTCGGATGGATGTGTATTCTTACATTTTCTGTTTCACTTCCTTTTGTAAGTTTTGGGAGTTCTCCACACTTTGTTTCCTTGTTCTTTAGTTACCTCCCCCCCCCCCCCAATTATCCGGAGGCTTTCTTCAGCAGACTTTGCTCTTAGGAGTGGGGCTTATTTTTGTTCCTTTTGGGTCCTCCCCTAAAACTGAAAAATTCCCTTCCCTCCGCTCACATTTTTTGTTTATTCCTCTAAAAAAATGCAATAGAATAAACAAAACGCGGAGCTGGGCAGGGCATAACCGCGCTATCACCCCTTGCTGCCCGGGGCGGGGTGGGGGAAAGCAGATGGGCAGTCCCAGAGCTTCGCCTTCCCGTCTCTGTTGTACCAGGCAGGGACTGGAGGGCGTGGCTTCTCCGCTTCCGTTCCCATTTGGCCTTATAAAAACCGCTTCGAGCGCTCTCTCTCCGCCTGAATGCAAAGAAGCCCGCCGGCGGTTTTGCAGCTGCCGAAGTTCCTGATTCCGGTACCTCGCCCCATCCGCTCGGTGTGGCGTTGCCATGGTGAGTTTGGGTGGTGTGAATTCTGCAAGTCCCGGAGCAGTGTTTCTCAACCTTGGCAGCTTTAAAATGTGTGGACTTCGCACATTGTTGGACGGGGTAGCTAGAACTGAAGTCCATATGTCTTAAAATTGTTAAGCTTGAGAAACACTGCACTGGCGGATGCCACCTCCCACAGACATTTATTGCAGGATGAATTATTGGACGGATTGCTGTTTAGAGAGATTAAAATTTTGAACTATTGAACTTGGACACAAAAAGCATAGGAAACTCGAGATTCAATGAGCATAGATAAGAAGCGATCCTGCCCTGGTCCTAGCCTGAGTGCAGTTTGTGCGAGATAACGCAAACTGTGAAACGTTGTAAACTGGAAGGGCAACAACGAGAAATCTGAGGTCCGCTCTGGTGGGTAGAAGCGCAGGTAAGGTCCTGGATGTGCCCAGTCCTATTCAGCTGTCTGGATCTAGATGTTTCTTCCTCTGAGAGAGAAATGCAATATGCATCTGATGGCATTTGGTTGCACACAGGCAAAGCTAGCTGTTTAACAGTTTCCTGCCTGGAGAAGATAGAAAAAATGAACATAACGTGATCTCAATTTAAAGGGGAGGAAACATAAAGAGAGGTAACTTGAGGACAGGTATGAATCTAGGAAGAAATTCAAATCCTAAATTGAGAGTTCTATGACCACATCTTACTTTACTTTCTCTACATTCTGGCTGACATGCTTTATGTGTGATTTATCTATTTGCAAGAGAATATATTTTTGTCCAGGATGGAATATGTATACACTTTGGTAATGTTTGAATATTGTAAAAAAATACAGCCTTAATTTGCCAGGGGGAATTCAGTAATCACAAAATAAATCAGCTTCAAACAGATTAACTTGGATTGATGATTGATATGCTTTATAAAATTCACAGAAAGTTGATTTATAAATCAGGAGTGCTGTGAAATCTGGAGTTAATGTACTCCACAAAAGCATACTCCAATCTGTGTCCAGGTGAGTAGACTTCAATTCCCCAAATTCTCAAAATTGGCCCTGCTGGCTGGACATTTTTGAAGTCCACATTCTGAAAAATATTCAGGTCACTTTATATTGAAGAAAGAGTTTTTATTTTATGAGTAAAAATATTTTTTAAGAACAAAGACAGCTTGGGAATTTACACTGAACGTCTGTGTCTGTGTGTGGATTTTTGACAAAAGTTCAGCTGATTTTTGAAGTGTGCACTGACGTGGACTGTGTAGCGGGTATACACCATTTTTACTAGAACCTCCCACTCTTTTTTTGTATTTATATACACTAAATACACTATAAATACAATAACTTGTATTTATAGTAACAGTACTTACTTTATTATCAGCCCTGCTCCAATTTCTTGATCCGCCACTCGTGCCTGATTCTCCTCCCTTCCTCAGTGGAATTCAGAATAGACAGTGTCTCAAGTCTACACATTCCTTCTCCATCCACCCAAGGCTTATTGCTGCACAGATGCTGCACAGTTTAGTCGATGTGGCTTATATGGTTTTTTCCCCCTTTATTCATGGCTGGCACAGCTGGTGTGTATTTTGAACGAATTGGTTTTCTGTTCCACATAAACAGTTAACCAGCTGTGCAAGCAGATGGTTGATATAAAAGGGAAGTGCTTCTTTGTAAAAACTTCTCAAGCTTTTAGTGTTCTGCGTTTAGGGTTTCAAAACATTGCAAGGAAAATGCTTACTTTCAAAATTTAATAGTTTTTTTTAAGACAAACCTATATATGTTAATCCTTCATTTTATTTTTATAAAACATTAAAATGGCCTTATCATACTTCAGGCAAACAGAAAAAAAAATTAGGCAAACATTTTGGTGTCAAAAGTCAGAAAGCTTTTTAGAGGAATTCCATTAGTTCTACATGTAACCTCATCTCTAATTCCTTTTTATTGGAAAACAAAACATGATCAAATGTAGACTCTGATATTTTTTTTTTGCAGTTAAAATACAAGGCACTAGTCATATACAATGAACACCCAAATAAATGGACTCAGATAGTAAATGGTTTAAAATTACCGTCAGGAGAGTCAGTTGCTTTTGCTTTTGTAAATGGAAAGAGCTTTTAAGGAGGTTATTGCCCATTTTAAGGTAGATAATTCTATTATTTTTTTATTTATAAAATGCCAAAATGCAAACAACATCAATGGGGAAAAAATCCAATAGTAGTTGCATATTTTAAAAATGCCTACACCTACTATAGAGATTAACACATAACTCTAAATTACAAATATAAAAGCTGGGAAATAATATAAATATCTACATAATATCCATTTAGTATCAATATGGGATTGTTTCCATTCTTAAACTTATTATTGAATCTGACCCATGTAGAAATATATTGCTTCATCTTCTTAGTTTTAGAATATTAAAAGTTTTCAAAAATAAATAACAGATATTCTGAAGCCATTACTTAATACCAGTTTCTTTACATTTATGTAGGATTGTCTGCTTTGCCAAGCCCAAGGCTTAGTAGAACTAAAGTTCTTCATCAAAAACAAAATTCCATGTTTTGGAAATATAATTTAACATCACATATATGTTTATTTCATTTCTTTCCAAAACTGTATTAATATATCTTAGGATTTGAAATAAAAATAAAGCTATTGTTGGACAAGATCAAATTGTTTGAGTTTCTTACAAATCTGGCACAAAAATCTGATATCCAATCTTTTAGATGCCTAACCCTTAGAGAGGTCCAATAAACACAAATTATTTTTTCTGATGGAATTCATTTCATTCTTAAATCAAAAGTGGATTTTACATGTTATAATAATTGAACCTGTTGAGCTTCCAAGAATGAATACTTCAATATTTTCTTCACATTTCAGGTATAGGATGATGATATTCATTTTAGCATAACTTAGAATAGAATAACTGGAATAACAGGGTTGGAAGGAATTTTGGAGGTCTTGTGAGTCTACCCCCTAGTTCAAGCGGGAGGCCTAGACTATTCTAGACAAATGGTTGTTCAATCTCTTCTTGACAACCTCCAGTGAGAGTGCATCCACAATTTCTGGAGGTAAGCGGTTCCACTGATTAATTGTTCTCATTGTAAGGAAATTTTTCCTTAGTTAAAGGTTGGATCTCTAATGCTTTTCCACCTGTTACTTGTTCTGCCCTCAGGTGTTTTGGAGAGTAGGTTCTCTGAGAGCCCTTCAAGAACGGGAAGACTGCTATCCTGCCATCCCTATTCCTCCACTTTGTTAGACTAGATATACCTAGTTCCCTCAACCATTCATCATACAGTTTCAATTACATTAATGTTGCCCAAGAGACTGAATGGAAGTTTTAACCACAGAGTTATGTTTACACTTAAATTATTTATGTTTTGGGTAAAACTAGGTAATTTTAATAAATCAAATGTCTGCAACTGGCCCTTGTGAAACATGAGTGGCTGAAAGAAAATTCAGAGAAAGAAGACTCATATAGAGGCATACCAGGCAGCTTTTAATTGGATAGATAGTCTATCCAGTGTGTTTTTTTAATTAGGAGTTATGTGTGATGGTGTAAATTAGCACATAATATAATGAGAAACAAAACTGTTCAGAACTGCAGATGATACCTGGAAAATGAGTCATGGGAACTGGACTTCTTTTCTTTTTTGTTTTGAAATGTTTTGCTGCTATCCAAGAACTGTAGCTTTTTCAGTCAGACTGGAGAATAGAATAGAATAGAATAGAATAGAATAACATAACTTTATTGTCATTTTGAATGTACACTAATCAGCATACATTAAAATTAAATTTCATTGCTTACAGTTCTCAAAAGGGTCACCACCTCCAATATACACTACATAAATGTGACAAAAATAAATAAATAAATACAGAATTATGCATATACTTGGATACTTGGATAAGCAGTGAAACGTTTCAAACCCAAAAAATGAAAAGTCCAACTGCCATGACTCAATTTCCAGAAAACTCTACTTGGATGACTGAGAATCTGTATCAACATATTGCAAATGGTACTTTGTAATTATTGACAAAATACATTTAATTAAATGTAAGAATTAAGCAGATAATTAGATTTAGTCCAAGAGTTTATTTTTCAGACTTTCCATGCCTAGCTAAAAGTTGTGGTGGACATAGTCTTCCAGAATCATGCAAGATATTTAGTTGGAAACTAAATGCTAAACACATCTTTAAAAGAATTTTAAAACAATGCTTTTGCTTGTTGATTGTTTAGGAATCACGTGTTATCTGCTATTGTTGAGCAGTTTTTCTAAGAACATGTGAAATTAGTTCATGGGAATTGTAATATTAAGTAGGATAAATAATAATAGATTTTCAGTTTATTAGGTAAGAGTAGGTATATGTTGCTGGTTAGATTCTACTTTCTGTTTTGTCTTGGTAATATTAGATGTTCATTTGCTCTGATATCTGCTACTACACAAGAACAGATCTACAATGGGCCAAAAAATAATTTTAATAAAAGTTGCTGTTTTTGTGACATTTAATAGAAAAATATACGTGTGGACAACAAAACTTTTTATATATCACTTTTTTCAAATTAAAATTTGCCTTCAATTCTATTCCAAGAAATAGACTGTAATAGAAGTTCCCCCTTTCATCTGTTCACCACAGCTACTTTCACTAATCAGGATGTTGCATGAAAGGACAGTCAGCCAGGTGAAGAACAATAAAGTTGGCTTCGTTCTGCAGACATTTCAGTCTGCTGAGAAGTGAAACTGAGATGTATTTTAATTCCCCCACTGTTTAATATTTATGTAAATTCAGTGGTTTCTACTCTTACCCAAAAAGAATTTTATCCCTTTAAGCTCAGAGACAGACATTTGGCAGTGCTGCTGTGTGACAACAATGCGACAATTCTGTCTCTTACACAGGTGAGCCTTAAGAAAAGTTTGCAGGCCTTAGCAGAATTCTTCAGGGAGGATTCTTACAATTAATTGCTCCAAGATTAAAATTATGTTTTTTTTCTGAAAAAACTAGTTGCAATAAACATCAATGGCAA